TTAGCAGCCTGTATAACAGTGTTATTATAGTGCACATTTTGTTTTTGCATCCCCCAGTGAATAATTCTGTCTTACAACATAAAATTGTGAGCGTGCAGAAGATTAGTATAATTGAAAATGTGTTTCTGATCCAAATGTCCAACGCCCTGCTTGTGGACAACAGTGTACTTTGTGACAAATTTCGAGCTGCAAGCAAACTTTGACTTAAAAAGATTGAGTCGCCTATGAAAAACATTCAAACATGAACTCAAATCTGTCGAGACATTGCAGGCTACTAAATGTTTTTGTTGTCCTGTGGAAAAATCCCAGAGAGTGACGTAAAGCACAGAAAAGAAAGAAGCTGCAAAGGAGCACCAATCTCAACATGTAGATAAAACTTCATCGCTGGCCTTGAAGACTAAAGATAGGGAGACCTTCAGGATGTCAAGTGCCAAGAACTGAGGGAGTGGTTGATGAGATGAGTCGAACTCGGCTGCCTGCAGCAGCCCTCATTGCAAGCCAAATAAAGTGAGTATGAATCATAGGTGAGAAATATGGGCACTGACGTCCAGGCTTGTCAGTGTGTCTGCCAAATAAGATGAGCAGCCAGACATCAGCTTTTCTTGTTTACCGATAACACGTGGACACAGACACACGCACACTCGCCATGGACCTTACTCATGCCATATCATTTGTCCAATGAAAAGCATGTGTGTTCTTTATTCCCAAACTAAACATATGTATATCCAACCATCCATCGATTTTCTAACCTGCTTACCCTCACAAGGGTTGCGGGCATGCTGGAGCCTATGCCAGCTGTCTTTGGGCAATAGGTGGGGGTACACCCTGAACTGGTTGCTCGCTAATTAAGATAACAAGATAAGATAAGAAAACCTTTATTTGTCCCACAATGGAGAAATTCCATTTGCGTGCATACATAGATCGATATGTAGATACCCTGTAAATATATCATAAAAAGGAATATATATATATATATATATATACACACACACACACACACACACACACACACACACACACACACACACACACACACACACGGACAGAGAATCAGTTAGATAGATAGATAGATAGATAGATAGATAGATAGATAGATAGAGTACAATTGAAGACACATGCTGGCAACATTTCAAGATAGTTTAATTCATTTTGTTGACATCAAGACTGCTATTTTAAAAGTGTAAATCATGGACCATGGTGTAGTAAAATACTTACACTCTTTCAAAGAGAAATTGATTATTTTTTTCGAGTACATTTAATCTCTATGATCTCGTTTTGTGGCGTCTTTCAGGAGTGGGACTCACTCCTTAAATCTCCCTAAATGATAAATGACAATAAAATACGACCGTACTCAGAGAACGACTGCATCATCTCTCCTGTGACTCATTTTTTACACTCTAGCCCCACCTAGTGTCTGTTTTTGATCTAGTTTAGGCATCGTGATGAAGGCGTTTTATATAGATTTGAGGTTATGAAAGGCCAGCTTTCATTAAATGTAACAGGTATGACACAATGAAGCCAATCTCTCTGTAATCCAAGAGCTCAACAGTGATCTGCAAGTGAGACCAAGTCGGCAGTCTCAAACTGAACATGCAAAGCGGAAACTGCATGAGTCCATACCAACACACATTACCACTACACATATGTTTATGACATGCATCTTTAACATATCACTCCCGTCAGTCAACGTGGCTTAAGTATTTCCTCTGTTTAAAATTGGAGGCAAATAATAATGACAATAGTAATAATCCTAATAATAATGATCAACAGAAATATAAAAATAAAAGAATTCAGACCTCTTTCTCTTTTCCTGCAGTTCTCAAAAAATCTGAAAAACAGTGATTATCAGGTTTGATGATTTCATGTGGAGAAATATAAATTACTTACCAATAATCAATATGGATCTAGAAGCAAGCGATCAACAGCACAAACTGAACTGATACAAGAAACCAGATTTGCAACAAATAAAAACAAATGTTGGCTGTTGGAGCATTCATTCAGCTAAAGAATGCATCCATCCATCCATCCATCCATCCATCCATTTTCTGAGCTGCTTATCCTCACAAAGGTCGCGGGGCGTGCTAGAGTCTATCCCAGCTGTCTTTGGGCAATAAGCGGGGGACACCCTGAACCAGTTGCCAGCCAATCGCAGGGCACACAGAGACGTGTGTGTGTGTGTGTGTGTGTGTGTGTGTGTGTGTGTGTGTGTGTGTGTGTGTATACACACACACACACACACATACATACACACACATATATAATGTTTGCTTAGTTTGTGGTAAATAGGTTTTTACTTATTCCTCATCTTTTTCAAACACAGTATGATTATATGTCCGAATTCTTATTTCACTTCAGTCTTGTTTTGTCGTTCTTTTTTAGTTCCCTTTTTAATCCTTTTCACACATGTTCAAAAATAAAGCAGTCAGTCAGCCATGTTCACATGTTTAGCACACTCATGCTAATTTCGATCGCATAATAACTGATTCAACTGCCAATATTCATCTGGACAAGTATATGCTCATAAGAGTGTCTGTAAAAACCTGAATAAGAACTGGGTTACCCCTTTTCTAACCCAAATATTTGGTCATATGAGCACGATCTGTATATTTCCATTGAAAGGGACGTTTGGGTTCTGCGCATGCTCTATCCACAAGGATTCTTGGTCTTGTATGCCCGGCGATGCCGCTTACTCAACTAGTCGAACATTAACGTTTGACACTTGAGACTTTCTTCTCCTGATTTGTCATGGTTTGATTCTGATGCGCAATTCCACGTGCTGTCTTTTGAGTTGCGATGCAAAGCAACAATACAACTATTCTACCAAAAGTCACAGTGCATCCAATTCCAGATAATTGAGGTACTAAAGCTAAGGGAGTTGCGTTTCAAAAGTACATGTGTTCTCCTCAGGCAACATTGACTTGCCTCGCTGATAATCATTGATAAGCAGCCGTATGGGCCGCAGGGGTCAATGTGGAATGATGATGTTGATAAATGACAATGTCGTTTGTGTCTTTGTCCATAAATCAAAATGGAAGATGTAATAAACCAGACAACAAAGTACCGTTGCAGCCAATGTGTGGGAAGCCCTCATTTCTACCGTATCTAAATGTCATCACCGTGAAATGCAAAATAGTAACATCTTGAGTAGGCGTGCACCCCCTGAGTGGTCACAGATGTCAGGCACAGTCATGGCAAGGAAGTGCCCGTATTCTCCTTCTGTGTTAGCCAGAGGAAACTCTCACTTGGGTGTGGGCCCAGAAAGATCCAAAACTCGGAACGCAAATGAAACAGAGCAGAACAGGTTGAATCCCGAAATGTATTGTACAATTAACGGCCACAACATTAGGTAAATGCTGAATCCACAAACTGCCCCAATGAATGCATCTTGGGGAAATTATTAAAAATGGTTTGCAGGGTAGATGTGCACAACCACGATAATAAACATACAGTATTTTCTGGCATGCCATTGTGAGGCAAGTATCGTGCAGTTTCTACAGACAGTAAACAAGCTCTATAGCACCGTTTGTGGAGCGATGACTGAGGAATAATTAATGACATTTTGAGAAGTATCCTGATTAAAGTTGCAGAGTTAATTTTGTGGTTTCGGTCACGAGCTAATCCGTCAAATTTCCAGGTTTTTCAGAATAAAAAACGCCGCCATATGCATGTCCATCATGTCTTTTGTCGTCCTCCATGAACCAGGGAGTAGAATGCTAACCAGTAATAGATGACAAATATAAGGCACAACAGGAGTGGTTTTCAACTGGGTGACATCTTTGTATTGGTGTGATGTTGATCCAATTAATTTGATACAGTTCTAGTGTGTGTGTGTGTGTGTGTGTGTGTGTGTGTGTGTGTGTGTGTGTGTGAGAGAGAGAGAGAGAGAGAGAGAGTCAAATTTCCAGGTTTTTCAGAATAAAAAACGCCGCCATATGCATGTCCATCATGTCTTTTGTCGTCCTCCATGAACCAGGGAGTAGAATGCTAACCAGTAATAGATGACAAATATAAGGCACAACAGGAGTGGTTTTCAACTGGGTGACATCTTTGTATTGGTGTGATGTTGATCCAATTAATTTGATACAGTTCTAGTGTGTGTGTGTGTGTGTGTGTGTGTGTGTGTGTGTGTGTGTGTGTGAGAGAGAGAGAGAGAGAGAGAGAGAGAGAGAGAGAGAGAGAGAGAGAGAGAGAATAATACTAAAATACTCCATCAACATCCTCCAGTTGGTTGTTTTGCATTGTGCAATTTGACACAACTGGATGAGTTGCACACGCACTGATGTAAAATTTCTGTCTGGCCTGTACAGAGATGACTCGTGACATCAAGTGTTGGGGAGCCAATCTGAGGTCCCCTCCCCATTCAGCATTGTGTGCTAGTATTGTGAGGAAATTACATGCCTCCAGGGCACAAACATGGAGAATGGAGGTTATTGTCAAGCGGGGAGCTTCTTGCACCCAGCAGTCAAACAAGTGAACTGGGAAACTATTTGTCGAGATTTAAAGATTTGAACGTGGCGAAATATTTGTGAAATAAGTTTATCAAACGTCGAAGGTCAAAACAGGTTATACTGGATCGCCGAAAACACATGTTCTCTTCATTTCATAGGTATTCATGTCTATAAGGAGTATGTGCAGGTTTTTTTTGCATGTTTCAAATGTAGGGCGTAAAACTGGGCCCCCTAAAAATAAAAAAAATTAAGTAATGTATAGATTGTTGAAAAACCAACTTAAGTACACTAACAAACTTCCTTCTCACCACTTCTCCACCACACGCGTGTACAGTATGTTTGTGTTTATGCATCCACACACTGTTCAAGTCTCCAATACTCCGAACATAAAGACACATCAAATGTGACTTGGCAGATAAGAGATTATCGAAAATAATCCACAGCAGCACACAAGATTGAGATTAAAAAATAGCAAAAGGGATGATTAAATGGTCGGGTTCACTCCTCTAATATGAGTGAACAATGCTTGCATGGAGAAATTGTCTTCCTTACCTTGGTCACTGCATCCTTCCAGGGGAGACTCCTCGAATCCCAGATCGTCAAGACTTTTCCGTTTCTTCGACATTTGTGGGACCGGACAGAATCCCCGGCCGATGTGTCGGACAACTTGGGGCGCCTTTGTCAACCGGCGGGATACACAACACGTGGAACAGTCTGCGTGGGGTGATAAGAGGGGTGACGAACACCACCAGAGACGTTCATTCAGACGCGTGCGTGCATCGTCCTTGAAAGAGGCAGCCTGGTCACTTTGTCGCGATCTGGTTCGGCGTGTGGCCGGGCGAAAAATATGAAGCGATTTGTCACTCACGTGTGCGGCGGATTACAATGTGGGACTTGCTCAAATGTGAATTTACGCACGAGGTTGGTGACTTGTTCCTCCATGTAGGTGAGCCGCAAAAAATTGGGTTTCTTCACTGGTGCCCGACCCTCGCTTCGAAAACTATCGTTTCCCAAGGGAAACCGTTGCGAGGCTTTATTTAGTTTTGAGCGAATGGCTCACGGCGACGTCAGACGACCTATCTAATCAGGCGTGGATGACGCACAGAGGACATCGCGGGAACTCTTGGATATCCCGATGAAAGAGTGTTCGCTCAATTCAAAAGGACCATTCACGAAACATGCATTTCGTGTCTATTCTAACTGTCACGTCTGTCTAGGTGGGCACTTGTGCGTAAAATTAGTTCACTCATGGTGTGGAGTGCGCGAGGGTACTTTACCTTCTCTTAAATCCATAAATCCCACGAAGCTTCGTGATCGACGAAGAACCTCCTAATCCACGCGTGACAGTGACACAAATGGACCCAATACGCATTGTAAAATGAGGACCATCTAGGAATAACCTTTTCTTTTACTTGCCGGCGACACAGCAACAACACAAACCAGTACAGTAATGAATATATTAAAGTGCATGTGTCGTGTCGAGGCGTAAAATCAAAATAACCCGTATAAAGGATCAGATTTGAAAACCTGGGAATACAAATGATTAACAAACTAATAATAACATCTCAGGAGGGTTTCCGTGCACGCCTGGCTGTTCCAATTGGTTAAAACACAGGGAGTGATAACCAAATATCACACATTGTCTCTCCTTTCCAAAAAAAGTCACAGATGGGTGCCACTAGTTGAGCGCGCGCGCACACACACGCACATTTCCTCTCCTCTCTTTCTCTCCCACCCTCTCTCAATTCTCCCACATCCTGATTTATTCATGAACACACCATGAGGGTCACTAGATCATATTCCTTTCCTCACATCTGGTTTACATTTACAGTGTAACGACCAAAGCTGCACATTTGAGCTCAGGAAGACTTTGTGTTTTATTATTTCTAATAACAAATTTAATTGGTCTTATTTCTTTGCATATACTCTTTAATTGTGAAGGCTGGCATTCGCTGATGCTGGTGTTTAGTGGTATTTTCTCCATGCAAACACCTCTCTCTCTCTCTCTCTCTCTCTCTCTCTCTCTCTCTCTCTCTCTCTTTTTCTTTCCTCTCTCTTGTTCCCTCCCTCCCCCTTCCACTGCAGCTGCTGACGTCAACACACGCTTGCGTCAATGCTGCCTGCTTTGGCAGAGAGGCTTTTTTCATTGTGATCATAATGGGATTATTAGATTTAGAGAAATACCCTGCCTTCGTGTTTTTTACATGCTTTTTTTTTTCAAAAACATGATGAATGACCCATCTTTTTCTTTCCTTGCTTCTTGCACTAAATATGATTATGGTCACAAAGGACTCATGATCCCTTTGTTTATCCTTTGCAAATCATTTATAGATGAAAGAAAAATCAAAAGAATTTAAGACAAATATCAAAACACGGAAGTTGCACTTGTTTCGAACCGTGACAGCACTCGCTGCATAATATGGAAGCATACATATATAATAAATATTTCAGGTAGGGTTGAGATGCTCCCCACAAAAAAAAATCGACTGTCTGCTTATGTCATTGTGCATGTGTGAGACGCAGGAGGATGTTATGATGTCCTTAAGCGCTGACCTTCGACTATGAATGGACTCTACCTCCTGTAGGTGGGCCTTGATTTACCTCCCATAGCTTTAGTCTCTCACTTGGACTTAACGCGCACACTTTGAGAGTCTAGCTGCCTGTATGTTCAAATATGTGCGAATTAAATTCTCCACTTGAGCAGTAAGTAGATTTTTCTCAACAGGGTTTCAAAACATGCCACAGCGTACGTGGATCGGTAATATAAAGCAAAAGCAATTAAAGATTCAAAACCAAATTTACTCCTTGAATGGAATGTGCACCAGCATGCAGTGGGGGTCCTATAATGGCACCTTGTGCAAGCCCTCTTTTGATGCTTATTGATGCTGATGTCATGCAATATACTCAATATAAGTGGGTCGTTTGGTTATGTACAGTCCTGCACAAAAGCAGTGTTAACAATGTGCAGTGTTAACAATTCATTTTTTCAAAATGATAACTTCTCCATTTTGATCGACACTGTCAGAAGGGGTTATTAAAGATGTAGTGTAAAATTGCAGTGCATTATACAAACAGATGTTACTTTAATACTTTCAACCTCTTGTGTGACCAAAATATTAGAGATGTCTCTCAGTATGATGCAGTGCAGTTTAACACCACTGCATTGTAACTGTGCAGAGCTAATGAAGTGTCCAAAATGATTTTCATGACCAATTAATTCCACATCACTCACCCCCATTATCTGAACCGCTTTTCCTCACGAGGGTCGCAGGTGTGCTGGGGCCTACTCCGGTTGTCTTCAGGCATTAGGCGGTGTGCACCCTGACCAGTTTGCCAGCCAATCGCAGGGCGCACATTGCGCTCACAATCACACAGAGGAACAATTTAGAGCAGGGGTGCCCAACCTTTTTCGGCCGAAGATCTACTTTTCGATCAAACAACTTCCCGCGATTGACCAGTTACCGCACACACTTGCACGGGCATGCCATGAAGAGCAACAGCCAGAACAGCCTTGTTCAGGGTCACAAGGTGATGAGTGAACACACAACCTTTGAGTTGCGTGTTGGCAGGTCTGCCACCTGAGCCATGTGGCATTGACAGGCTGTTGCGTGATTATATTGTAGTTATCGGTAATTTACAAATGTAGCCAGGCGAGGTAAACAACTTCATTCATGGACCCAAAATCTATTATTTACTTTTCCCCAATTAAATTGGCTGCAAATTGTTACGATACATTTTTGGGTATATTCTATAGGTTGTTTTGGGGTTTTTTTTTTGTTTGTTTTTTAACAGTGTATACTTATTGAGTAGCTTTTTTTAGTTGTTTTTTTTTTTTAAGTGTGGGTATATTTTACTAAAATTTTCTCGATGATGTTTATGACTGATATAAAATAGTGTATGTACAAGTTTCCCTTTATTTTATAATTCATTTATGGCCTAAAATAATCAGGTGCATTTCACATGATTTTCATGAGTTATAGTTACCACTCTCCAAAATCTTTTTTTACTGTGCAGTCAATGACATTGGATGACGTTTTCCTTGAATTTTGAAATTTTTAAAAATTTCCGTTTTTTTTTAGTAGGAGACTATTTACGTCAAGCTGCATGAGGTATGGAATAGTCGTTTTCTCATTTGCGCTATAAACGATTTTTGAAACCTGTAAAAAAAAAGCTACCAATCATCACTTTATCATGGACTTGCACTTAATATAAGCGCATTAAAGCTAGAATTGTGCTTCCAATACGATACACATTCATGTATGTTCAGTGAAGGATCTAATGATCATAAATACAGTACATAAACTGCAGAAAGCCAAGAGATCTTCCTTTCAGTTTAAAAGCACAGAACCTCACCTGCTGCTTCCTCTTAGTAACAAACACAATATCAGATGTCAGCATTTGAAGATCTCAAATTCATTTCCTTGAGCCTGGGAAATGGCATTTCAAAAGAGTCTTGTATTTTAGAAAAGAAAGCATTAAATTGCACTCTATCTGATCCATCACATGGACGGGAGCGTAACAGCAGTCCAGGCTGGAGAATGCCGCTGCAGAGAGGAATCATACTGAGCTGAGTCGTGCCCCTCTGTGCTACCGCTGTCATACATGGGTGAGCCAGATGAGGGCGCTGGTACCGAGTGCGCCAGATGGGGATAGTGACTGCCGGACCCTCTCAGAAACTGGGAGCTCAGGTTGTTGTTGTTCATCCCAGCCGAATGGTGAGACACCGGGGAGACTGGGGTCAGCGGTGTGTTGTTCATCGACCAAAGGCTGCTGTACTGACTTTATCAAGACATGGACGCACAAGACAGGTTGCTTAGAAAGAATTTGAATGGAAATTTTGCAGATAATATCGAATGTTTTGTTTTGGCAAAGGCAAATATCCATTCCAGACAAAAATATAAATACATTTTTGACTGACTTATATGTTAATTGTACTTTAAGCAATATCATTCAGTGACAAATAACAATAATATAAATATTATAACTATAATAAATGTTACACAAAATGTAGGGAAGAAATTTCGCATTGAAATTGGTGATTTTAACAGCGATATTAAAAACCTACCTTTAAATGAGAAGTTATGCCCTAAACAGCATGCACGTTTATTGCTTTACATTCCCATAAAATTATTTAACTTCTTGTGGAAAATTTGGCAACTTTTGTATTTTTGTAAAGCTGGCTTCAGAGACAAAATAGAAGAAATAAACTCAGTATGTACACAAATTACAACCACATCAATAAATCTGTAGTGTTCACAGAATGGTAACTGATCTTTTTTGATTGATTTGATAAGGCTTAGCAAATAAAATTGCACGAGTGTAAATGTCATGTCTCCATAAATGTGACCACACATATGTGTTATTTTTTCCAAATCAAGAATATTAATAAAGAACTGACCTGGAGTTGGTAGCAGTGGTTGGATTGTGGGTCATGGACATCATGCTGGAGTGCGTTGGAATCTGGAGACCGCACCAGTTGTCTTGACTTGACAGCATTGACAGACATGCAGAGGGGTTCTCTGTGTAACCTGCTGCAATATAGAAGCAGAAAGGTTTTACAGTGGTTTTAATGCAACTATTATTGCTGCAAAGCAGGCAGTCACTCCAGCTAAGCTTCTGAGACATGACCTTCTCCGCCTTTACCCCGTCAAATGAAGGTATAAACATTCCTTGTCTGAAGGACCAACAGTTTACAACTTTGGGGCTCCACTCGTACAAAAGCAAGTGGAATGCAGACCATGGCTCAACCGGTAACGTTTGTTTCGCTTGTTAAGAGTCAGAGACGATGTGTTTGGTATGAAAGCGAGGGCGAACTTAGAAGGGCACTCACTGGGCGAGTTAGTCCGATGGTTGTAAGAAGAGGTGCTGTAGGGCGCCGAGCGGTGGGTCCTGAGCGTGGAGTAGCGCTCACGACCGTGGGATGGCGAGAGAGAGATGGGGCTTCCAAATTGACTGTGAGGACTTGCAGCCGCAGGAGGGCAGAGGGAGCCTGAAGCAGGTAGAAACCAACCGCCTACTGGCTCCAAGAAGGAAGACACAGGTTGGGAGTGACACAAAAACAGCCATCGGCAATGTCTATATAATTTAAATAGTTTTGAACACATTTAAAGGAATTAAGACACTTACACGGTGAATACGTTGACTGCTGGTGTTCAACTGTTTCGTCTTTGATATCTTTGTCATCACATCTGGAGGAATTAAAAAAAGGTGTTTAAACTTTAATGTCTGTTAAACTATGAATAAAAGGCAAGGATGGTTCCTTGCTGACTGAGGTCAGGCTGCCACGCATTTCACTATAGGACAATATTTATCCCCGCTAAAGACGTTAATAGCAACAATAATAACATTAAAAGACAAGGTAATATTACAAAGACATCCTAAAATGAATGTAAAATATACTGATGTGTCACTGTTATAAATGCAATGAGTACGATTACGCATTTTGAAAACATTAGTTAGTAAAAATAAAGACTGCAAAAAATCGTCCGGAGTATGGGATTAGCAAGTATTTGAGTAAGAGTCCAACAAAGGTTTAAATCTTATTTTGAAACGTTCTTACCTTTCCTTTGCATCCAGGAACGCCTTGGCAAAGGGGTTGTGTTTTATTTTCAAAGCGGTTATCTAAAATACAACAATGAATAATAGATCATGTTTAAATTACTTGCAAAGTACGTGCAACGCAGAAGAAACAAAGTGCGTAAATGCTGCGCGTAATCACGCACAACCGCACACGCACATACAATTTATGATTTATCTTGCATGTAAAATTATATTTCGCTAACCTCTTCATTTTGATAGGCCGTCACTGCAATAAATTGTGTCTCTGGGAAGGAATGACTGGTAACCATCCTGCGCGGGCCTCCAACACGCACGATGTGGATTCGCGGCTCATACTTGTGTAAGGAGTTTAACATGATCTATCAAAAAAATACAGTGACGGTCGTAAATTGTTCGAATGCAAGCGACAGAGTGTAGAAAATCCAAAGTTATGTTCCTACCTGACCTCCCCCGTTGAGTTTATTGGTGAGTTTGACTTTGCTGAAAGAGACGGGGGCTTTCATCCAGTGTGCGCCGAAGTTTGGTGAGTCCGGGTGGATGTAGACACAGCTCGGAGTCTGAGGTTCGGGCTTCCCCCCGGGGACCCACTCCCCGCTCACGTACTTCCACCTGTGGTTGTCCGCAGATACAAAGTCCAACAAGAAGGAGTACATGGCGTTCGGGTCCAGTCCGGACACGTTGACTTTCATCACGGGGAACATGCGCCTTCAAGAGAACAACCGGAAGCTTAATTTCGAGTTGAAATGTCTAAATTACACCCGGTGTAATGCAATAGGCTCACCTGCCGTTTTTTGTCACTATCATCTCGTTAGTGAGATCCTTAAATTTGCCCCAAAGTTCGCTGTCATCCAAAGATAGCTTCAGCTCCCTCTCCGTGGGGTCGCCCTTCTCGCTGCCGGCCTGTAGCTCACTTTGCACGGCGTTCAGGAGGTGATCCACCCGGTACTGGCCGGCCTTCCCCGGACTCTCGCTCACCCCCGCTATGGACATCCTTTCCAACCGCTGCGGGTCTGAGTAAAGGTGTGGCGGTTGCAGCCTAATTCCCACAACGATATTTATCAATGAAACTAAAAAAAAACAAAAACAACCCACTCTCTCTTTCTTTAGGCACTCCGGGAGCTCTCTCCGGGATGAGAAGGTCAAATATATAGACCAGGGAGAAGGTACATGTCAGGATGGCTGCTTGGAACAAAGCTGGTTGGCTCGTCCTTACTTTGATCTTTGGCGGCTTGGCACCGATTCGCTGCAATGAGTCCATTGAATCCACAGGAACCCACAGTCTTGAATGAAGCAGCTTGGCCCACTTGATTACAAGAACTAGTAAATATTGACACTTAGATCAAAGCTCACCTGTACAAGCCCGACTGCCCGATTTACATTTTATTCCATTGTTTTCCCTCTAAATTTCAGAGGAGGAATTAAAATTTGTCAAATTTCACTGAAAAAATATACCACTTTACCTCACACAATTGTATTCTGTGACAGTCATGTTATATTGGGTTTAACTAATTTAATTTAAAACATTTACGATGTATACAAATTCATAAATCTTAAAACAAGAACAAAGTATCAAATTTAATTCAGGTCGATTTCTTTGACTTGACTTAATAATTACCAGTTATAATTCATGTCTGAAAAAAAACTTGCTTGCAAGGGTGACTGCAGATTAATTTAGAAGCTACAACATGAAATGTGAAATCTTACACGTGCAATTGTTTAGAGATGAACTAGTTTCAAGAATACTATTCACAAATGAGTAAAAAATTAGTTGAGAGTTTTAGCAGTGAAATGTGATCATAAAAACAAGCAATGGAGATGACAAAAAATGTTGGCCTTGCATTCCTAAAATAATTATATTAAAAAAATAATAATAATAAATAAATAAATAAAAACAATACTCTTCAGGTTTCTAGTGTACAAACCTTTTTTGTGATCTGTGTAACTGTATAGGTTTATTTAGTTTCATCTGCTGCCTAGATTTCAAAAGGAGAGGATATAACATTTTAGAGTGCATTTCAAGTAATACAGTCTGGGACTCCACATGAGTTTGCTGACACTATTCTTAAATGCATAATGTAACAGGTGTTTCACACCACATTTCACATGTTAATTAGTTTCTATGTACCTCACAGGTAACTATTGTGGCTGTTTACCTTGAAGTACTGCAGAGCATTTCAATAGGAGAGGTGAGTGACTATTGCTAATTCCATTTTGGATAACCCGTTTCCACAGCTACGCAACAAAACAAAAACAAACATTAAAGGCTGAAGCGAGTAACAGCCGCGTGCTAGCTTCCGTAGCTCTGCGGTGTTGTGTTGTGGCTGGTTTGTGTTACTAACCAAATCTTGGATGCCTCGTTCCTGCTGCAACCAGCAATGAGAGTCTGTCTCCACGTCCAAAAGTCTGGACGCGAGTTCACAGCAAGCAGAGAAAAACAAACCAGGTCAGTTTAAGAGGCAGTTAAAAGACTTCTTCAGTGTCTCCTCGGTTGTTCTAAAGGTTACACAAGATTCTATATTTAAATGGGTCAAATTATCCATCCATCGGTGAATTTCATGCAGGTCACTAACCTTTGGGAAAACACCATGACGCTCGGACATATAAAACATATTTTCTTCAACCCTTTCAGGTAAATTAGGCTTTAAAAGTGCATTACTAACAAAATGACCTACTCAATATCTTGTTTTGGAAGTTCCTCATCAGGTTTGGCTGTGCATTTACAAATGTGGGCACTTTCATCTGTGGGTGGCACATTGGATGTATTTATCATTTCCTACTCAATGAATATTATATGCTTGAAAAAAAAGTACCCCCACCTTTTTTTTTGGTACAGGAGCTGAGGTAAGTGAGATGTAAAAGTCAGAGGTGTAATAGCCAGTGTCATTTCCCACAGTCCCAGTGTTCCATTTGGCGCCTTGCTCTCCTCCTCCAACACCCCGGACAGCGCTAAGTGTCACACTATAGGCCACATCCTGTGTGGGGCTGCAGCACTGTGAATTAACGTTATTGGTCTGTATGGTGCTATATGGCCCCACACAGGACAATACAGGTGCAAGTAAAAAAAAAAAAAAAATACCTTTCAAGTCTGCAGTCAGTCATCCTTTCTTTTGGTTGCATCTTAAAGGAGCGGTACACTTTTTAGGAACAAATACCCAGTTTCTGAAATTCTACATTCATGTATTATGTATTGTTAGTATTTCTTAGTTAGATTCCTGATTTCAAGCCAACCATTTGTCAGGAAATTATTATTTATCATTTGAAAATATTGTTTATGCTTGCTCATCTATCTTTGCCGGCAATGTGGAATGACTGGCAGAACTATTAAATATTTATGGCTGAAAGTACAACCCTGTCAGCCTTCATCCCACAAAATAAGTCATCCTGCAAGTATATCAGCTTTGTGCTCAATGAAACAGGCCCAGATTTCACACTGAGCAAGTTAATATGTGAATTGGTGGAGATAAGGTCGCAATAATTTTAGTATACATACTTTCTGTGATATTTTTATTTCGTGGTATGCAATTGGATTTTTATTTAAAATGGGTGTCTTGGATCACAGGTGTACAATAATACAGATGACATTTGCTCTGTTAATGAATAACGTTTTCATCTACCTTGAGTATCCCTCTATGGAAAGAGAGAATGTGAAACCATTAAACACAAATTGTTACATGCTGTTTGTTTTTACTCGTGCTGATTTTGAGCTAATTAAAAATTACGTTTCTTTCAGGTCTGTGGCAGTCAGGTGGTATTTTTAACAAAAAGGTGAAAAATTCCAACAATGTTAATAATTTTGTTCAGTTAATATCTGACAGTGGCAATCAAAACGGTTGTTATCATGAAGAGGACAGAACATTTTTGACAGAAGACAGAGAATACAATGCAAGAGGTGTTTTTTTTTCTTCTTCTTTTAATTATAAATGTGTCCTTCTTGTTCCCAATATCTTTTAATTATAAATGTGTCCTTGTTCCCAATATTACCTTTTTGTGCTAGTGAGAACAACGTTTTGTAAGGGTGCTTAAACTGGTCACCACTGATCTCAATTTTCAAAACATAAAAATAAATGATGAAATCTAAATCTTAATTTGAAAGTCTAAACCCCAAAAAAGTGATATAACAGGAGTATTTACATTAAAAAAATACAGGGTATAGTTGTATTAAGCACTGATTCAGTGTTATGTGAAGTGCTGTAACAAAATGTGATTGTCTTAAGAAATTATAACTGAATGCAAATGCTTTATTTGTGAGAATGATAACAAAAACTAAGGTCAAAGATCATAGATGAATGTGTTTCACAAGAAGAGGGTGATGGACTTCTGTGGCCATGGCGGATTTGCCCTGTCACCGAAGAGCTGAGCTGAGTTGAGTGGCTGGTCTTGGCTCAGGCTCATCTGACCAATATTTGTGCTCCTAACTCTAGACGGGCTCATCCTCTCCTGGCCCATATTGGCACAGAGGTGAGAGAAAGATGACTCCTGCATGCCTGGGTGAGTGCGTGTGTGTGTGTGTGTGTGTGTGTGTGTGTGTGTGTGTGTGTGTGTGTGTGTGTGTGTGTGTGTGTGTGTGTGCGCGTGCATGCTTGTCTCAGTACCGTAGCTTTACCTCACCATCAGTGTTTGCACTTTCTTCACTTTCCCCAAGCTCCTGACATTATATGAAAATGTCAAACAGAGCCACCCAAGTCAATGTTTTTACACAGCAGAATGTCTATGTCATCTTTGATTCGCCATCAGAGATCGATGCCTTGCCTCAGAGTACAGGGGCGCAGTGACGATTCAGTCAAAACGTCTTTTTTCTGTGTACTTTGAAAACATTTTGTCTTGTATTGGTTTTGTAAAGATGACAGGGTCGTCAAAATGTTCTCTGTTCATGCATATCTGTAAAGATGACTACAACAGCAAATTTTAATGAGATAGCTTTATGCGTCTCAAAATGTATTTTTGATGTTGATTTTTTTAAAAATCTTTTTTTTTCCTTGGGCTTTTCGTTTTTGAGATATTTTCATTTTTTTGTTAAGTTAGACCAATGAAAGTTTACACAATACAGATTCCACTACACGTTGTAATTTATTACTATAGAGTACTTTTCAGAAAAAAATCCAACAGTTGCTGACCTAATCTTCAATTCATAAATATTACTAAATAGATTATTGCATTATATACTATTACTATTGCATCATGGAAACCTGATATGTTGAAGGAAAAACAACAGCGGATTCGGTATCAGTGCAAAACAAACCTAGAAAAGTTCATTGCAGTGCCAATCACCCAAAAAAAAAACAAAACCCAAAATAAATTGTAAAAATGTGTAATTACTGTACTGTGTAATAATCGTTCAAATAGGAAGGGTACAGAGGTTGCAGGCTCCTGAGAACTGCCAGGGTGACTTTGACACTAACTTTGGGAAATAATGGCATAATTTCATCCTATTCTAGGTTGTCACCAAATATCTGCTGTGCTGAACCCTCACGTGAAGACACCTGTGAGCTAATCCACATTGCCAATGGATAATGACAGAGTGAAAGCAATAAAACATTTCAAAACATGTAAAAACATCCTCATCACCTGGTTGTCTATCGCCTACCGCTGTGATGTGCCAACGTGTACACAAAATGCCAACTTGTTAATATATTCCTAATGGTGTGCGACTTCTCAAGAGAAGCCTTCGTGTGGTGCAACTCACACCCGATAACACCGGACACTCGGGTGACAGCACACTTTGTCTGATGGGTGCAAACTGGCTCCTAAGTAGACTTCCGAGCAAGGCAGCGTTTACTCACAGGACTGTGAAGCAGCTCACAGATTTATACAAACCCCATCTGCACTGGACCTGAATCTCAAACAATCATGTGGCCACTTCATTAGGTACGTACAATGTGAGTAGATCCAACACAAGAGTATCAAAAAAAATTGTCTGAATGCAGTACCGGTAGCAACTTCATCCCACGAGCTCATGCGTAAAATTTGAGGAAAGTGCGTTAAAAGGCATTTGCAAGCGCAAGTCTTCAACTAGTGCCACTAATATTGTGTGATGGCTCATAGATGACCTTGATGGGGTTGGATCAATGATCACTCAGTGCTCCATTCACAAGCACTGTAAAAATGGATGCCCTAACAATGTCATCTTGTACCCCTGGTTGGGAATCATTCAAATTCTACTAGTGAATAAACAAACTATATTATTCTCTGTTATTTTACTGTATAGGCTGACATATACCAGAGTGGAGGTGTGGTGGTTAAATAAAACAAATAAAATCTCAAGAAACCAAACCCATTTGTCAAGTATACATATTACACTGCTAGTGGCAATTTTAGGAATATGCAGTAAAGTAGTAGTAAAGTAGTGTGTACTGTGTATGTTCTGGTC